GACACTCACACACACTCTCTCACACACACACACACACACAGATGTATATATACACACAGACACTCACACACACACACACATATATATACACACAGACACTCACACACACGCTCTCTCTCTCACACACACACACACACACACAGATGTATATATACACAGACACACACACACTCGTATACACTCTCACTCACACAGACACACACACACTCACTCTCTCTCACACACAGACAGACACACTCAAACGCATGCACTCACACACACACACACACACACTCTCACACTCACTTACACTCACACACACTTAGTGTCCCTATCACATATCATATACTATTGTTTTTATAAAAAAATCAATTCTAATGATTATAGCATATATATACACACAGACACTCACACACACGCTCTCTCTCTCACACACACACACACACACACACAGATGTATATATACACAGACACACACACACTCGTATACACTCTCACTCACACAGACACACACACACTCACTCTCTCTCACACACAGACAGACACACTCAAACGCATGCACTCACACACACACACACACTCTCACACTCACTTACACTCACACACACTTAGTGTCCCTATCACATATCATATACTATTGTTTTTATAAAAAAATCAATTCTAATGATTATAGACAAGAAATCAAATAAGGTTCAGAGGTTCAGATTTTTTTTATGTTTTAAAGTCTCTTCTGTTAATCAAGGCTGCATTTATTTGATCAAAAATATTTAAAAATAGTGAAATATTATTAGAATGTAAAACAGCTGTTTTCTGTGTGAATCTCTGTTAAACTGTAATGTATTTCTGTGATGCGCAGCTGTATTTTCAGCATCAGTACTCATAATATGCTGATTTGCTGCTCAAGAAACCGTGATGCATTTTCTTTTTCAGGATGAATAGAACGAAAATAGCATTTATTTGAAGTAGAAATCTTTAGTGACATTATAAATGATCAATTGAATGCAATTTCTTTAAAAAAAAATGCTCCCAAACTTTTGAACAGTAGTGTAACATTTTTCATCCCCAAATGTCTCCAAACTAAGATTTTGACAGATTTAAGGAGGTTATTTTCTCCTTAACCTAAAACTACAAACACACAATCATTGAGCAGGAGCTTCCCAAACAACAGCACAGCACAGCAGAACCTGAGTTTGCATTAATAATGAAATGCACGCTCCAAAACTGCAAAAGCTTGTCCATGCAATCAACCCAATGTCGTGTAACACATCCAGACGGGTCTGAAATTCCAGGATGCATTTCAATGGCCAAAGCATTAAATTAGGTGAAAGAGCAAAGACAGAAGAACATCTTTCTGCAGATGTGGCTCCAGTGATTCTTACCTGCACAAGGTTGACCTGAAGTCTCTGTGAGTCCAGCTGTCACATCCCTCAGCTCTTAAAGCAGGACTGCAGCGGCCCGGATTGGAGCAGCAGTGGGTGAGGTCACAGTATTTAAGCGTCTGCTGAGGGATCGACTGGGTTCTGGATCAGAGTCCAGCTGCTGCAGCTCTTCAGTGGGATGAGGGTTAGCTGGCATCTCTATTGTCTGTGGTTTACAGACTGACGCCTCTGAGCCCGAACACACATGTGACAGAATGTGCAGAAAGATCCCGTGTGTGTGTGTGTGTGACATGGCATATGCCTCTCAGACAAAACAAGCAGGCCTAATCAATATTTGTGATACAATATAAAATACTCAAGTTGAATCTATTGTTTTAAGCTGATGTTAAATATCTCATGAAACATGAGTTCTGTTCATCTGACTTCTTGAAAACAATAACGTACCTAAAAATGATCACTTACATCAGACTTTCTTTATACTTTGAGACACAAAAGAAAATATGTTGAAGAATGTTGTGATCCAAATAACACTGAACCCCACTGAGAAAAAATGAAAATTGAGAAAATATGTTCTTTTATGATTTAGAGAAGAGAGAAAGTCACATGAGAGTTGAATAAATGACAACACAAGGAGCATTTTAGGTGAACTATCAAGATTTGTGGCTTCTTCAATAAACATGTTGTTTAAGAAATAATTAATAATTGTTGCCCAGTAATTTATAGACTTGTACATTTTAATAACAGCATTTCACCGCAGTTGCTCCTTTTTTCATCAATTTGAAGAAACAATAATCCACTTATTTGGGAACTGTTTAGTGCAAAGTGTTTAGGATTGAATTTTCAAACTGTATAAAAATGGTATCTTTTTGAAACTAGACTTTATAATTAATCTATGCCTTCTTTTTCATAAATTCGTATTTTTACATGTGCCCTTTCAAAGGAAACACCTTATTTTTAATTTCCAAGAAAGATGTTGGTGTATATATTTGAAACTGAGTGGGCTGTTAAGACCCTTCTGTGGTGTGATACATACCAGCTGAAATAAGTCAGATTGATCTCTACAGCACTCGACACAATACAGATTGTTCCAAAGCAGCGTGACAGAAATAAACAGCTAAATCAATCAATGATGCAAACTCCATCAGCTCTAACAAGACTCGAGCGGCATTATTCAGCTCAGTTCATTTCAGGGTTGATTCAGTTCTTCAGTAGACTTTAAAGGGGTTCATTCTCTCTTCATTCTTTCACTTTAGTCAGGAATATAGCCGTTAACCGCAGTAAACAAAGCAGCGCAGCACCTGATTTAGCAACTCATATTTAATCAATTAAACCATGAAGTGTAAGCTATGTCTCAGCTGGCATGTCTGTTTGTTTTTTGAGTCTCCTCCCGTCCATTTCACCTGTGATCCTTTCCTTCCCGCAGTACTCATCAGTGTTGTAGGTTGCCAAGTTGAGGGGACAAATTGTGTGAAAAGGATACGTTTCATACAAGATCTGACAACTGGGCAACCTTGGAATTTGTTGCCGTGATTATTCATATAATGAGGTTTGGGCCATACAAATTACGGGAGCTTTACCGGCGGCGAATGTAGCAAACATATAAAACTCGCCAAAATATTTAAACGGGATGATAGCGGGATAGAATGATAAAATACGGGAGTATCCCGGGAAAAACAGGAGGCCGGGTTGACAGGTATGGTTTCCAAAAGAGGACAGGACTAGAAATCAGTGGTTAAGTTGTATTTACAACACTGTTCCAGAACACTTCAACCCAAATATTCAGATGTGTGCAGCACATTTTATGGAGGACTGTCTCCTGATCCTGGGAGAGTAGACTACAATGCCGGCTGTTCTGACTCACAGCCTGTAAGTACGTTTTTTTATATTTAAAGAGTTTGTCACTGATGATCCAAACATGAGTTTTGAGCAGTGTAGAGTAGCACTTGTTGTTTTTTATGTTTACGCGGCGCGATGCAATGCAACGCGTAAAAAGACAGTATAAGTCATTATAATCAGTAATTATGTCCCCCACTGGATGCAACACATGTCTCGTTTATTATGGGTTTTAATGTTTTTGTCTCGTCGCTCCGGCCGGACAGGGCATCACAGTATGGTGAGGGGCGTAACATTTCCGTCACACGCTTGAGGTATTCGGCCAATCACAACGCACTGGATAGCTGACCAATCACAGCACACCTCGCTTTCAGACCGATGAGCTTTGTGGCTGGGCATAGAGGAGAAACAATAATGTACAGTATGTGGAAAATAATGTGTTTTTTTAACCTTAAACCGCATAAACACATTTCATTACACCAAATACACAACATAATGTTCTTTTTTAGCAACGTCACATGACCCCTTTAATGTGTCATAACCATCTTGGTATGTGTTTATATATTTTAATACACCACAAATCGCTTTCAGAATATCTGGTTGAGCAACGTCTGACTCAACCAATCATCTTAGCCTGGGGGCGGGGCTCTTCCTTGGACTGACCAATGACAGGCGGGGGCGTGTTCGGGACACGTGTGTGAAGACACGGAGAAGATGCGGCGAGGCCAAGCCTCCTGAAACCGAGCTCATCCACAAATAGATTCCGCTACATTAAAGGTGACAATAATCCAGCTCTCGTTACATAATCACTCAGAAACGACGCGGTGATTAATGTCGGAATCTTCAGCTGATCAGAAGTCCTCTGAAATGTCCAAAGTGATGTAGATATCAGGACAAAACGTTCTTAAAATAATGTTGCAGGAACGTTCTTATAACTTCTCAGAATGTTAAGAAAAACTGGACATTTCAATGTTTTAGGAATGTTTCAAATCAATGCTCCCACATAACCCAAATGAGTGAGCAGAGAAGAAGCATGTGTTTAAAGTCGTCTGGTCTTTAATAAAGTGTTCACAACGTTATTAACACAAAAACGCTATGCGGGGCACATTTGAATTCTGACACGTTTTCGTGGGATGTGTTTTAGATGTTGCTACTTGTATCAGAGAACGTTCACAAGTAACGTTCACAAGTAACGTTCTCTGATACACAAGTAACGTTCACAAGTAACGTTCTCTGATACACAAGTAACGTTCACAAGTAACGTTCTCTGATACACAAGTAACGTTCACAAGTAACGTTCTCATAATGCTTGCAGGACGATACAATGGAATGTTCACGTAACCAGAAAAAAACAACTCTTTTGAAACAAGTTGCAACATTTAAAAAAAAAAACGCACATCCAACTCAAATGTTTCAGAAGTAAAACGTTTCATTTCATGTTTTTGTGCTGACGTTTTAAGATCATTACTAAAAGCCAGATAGCTCTGAGTGAACTTTCTATTAATATTACTAGAAGAGCGTTTGTTCATAACTTTGAGAGAACCTTGGCAGAACGTTGTTCATCATGATGGTTCTGTAACACAGATGAACTGATGGACAAAATCAGGTTTGATCATCTCTGAAGACCACTGCAGCTTCTGGTTTAATATCTGAGTGAGGTTCATCAGGCTGTGGTGGTTTGTCTCCAGGGTCCACAGGTGTTCCTCTATAAATACTGCTGCATGGGCGTCTCAAGAGACCAGCTCGATTTAGAAAGCTTGGCGTTTCTTCTGTGAGTTTTTGCCAGGACAATCAACACAAAAACACATGCTGGGATCTGTTTCCAGGCAGCGTGACAGAGCTTCACATTAGTGAGGGGTTATGGGTATTAACCGAGGACACGAGCATGGAAACAGCTAGCCATCTCATTTTTCTGCAAGACTGGTTATAACTTTTTCAAACCAGTTTCATCGTTGGTCTAGTAACACTTATTTCTGAACGTTCCGGTCTTTAAGTCTATTTAAACATGTTTTTGTCATGCAAGTGAACATTGCATTGAACGTTACTTTTGAATGTTCTCTGAAACAAGTCGCAACATTTAAAAAACGTTAGACGAACATCCAAATAAAAGGTTTCCGAAAACGACTCCCTGAGCAAAAAGGTTTCCGACGTCTATCTCCAGTCCTTCTTTTGTTCCTTTGTTTTTCTGCTAACGTTTTGAGAAGGAGATAACTCTGAAGGAACATTTCTTTAACATTACTGGAGGAAAGTTTGTTCGTAACTCTGAGAGAACGTTTTAAGAACATTGTTAGCTGGGTTATCAGGATGACAGAATAGACAACAAGAGAGAAACAACACAGCTGACAAAAATATATCTGAAGACCGACAGAGTCACTGTTTTACTGTAAATACTGACGTCACATTCATCTGTCAACTATAAACCAACACATTTAATAGCATCTGTCACTACTTTAATCCAAATGAGGAATACAGCAAGCGATTCAGCTTAAGAGGCAATGACATTTTTTATTGTTATTATATAACATTTTCAGCTTGTACCAGTTTGCGATTCTAAGATCAGGCTTGATATATTTCATATATTTCTGTGGCTGTCTTAGACGAGCTGAAGCTTTGTCATGTGAAATATGTTGATCACCACAGCTTTGAAAGGCCTTAAGTAGCTCATCAGATTCAGGATTGTGTTTGTGTGCTAAATATAGAGAGCCGCTCCTGAAATGTCAGTGCAGGTTCAAGGCGAGAGAGACTTGTGACTGAGAGGTGATTAACACACTTACTAAGAAGTTACGTTTTCATATTTAACAAATGCATCTAGTATTCATAAATATTGTGAATCATTGTCGTGGTAGCTCTTTGTTTTCTGTGTATTAGTGAATTATTGCACCGTATATCTGCTGCATGTGAAGCATGCGGAGATATTTCTCGCCTGCAGTCGCTGAGAATGAATCTGAATCTGTTTGCATTGACAGCTGCACATGTCCACAGTTCACTAGGGTTTAAATGTGCTCATAGTGATGTTATGGCAGCTTTACTACACAAATACTTACGCTTAACACTATGTAGAGACACACGGGCAGTAAACACTAACACTTTCACTAGTTCCACAGTGTGTTATGTCTATTTTTGTTTTATTGGGATCCAGTAATGGTCTTCATTGTTGAGTCATGTATGTTGAATGTGTCTATCTAGTGGCCACAGTGAGAAACTGCAGTCGTGTGAAAGCAGGACCATTTGATTATTTCTTTGGGAATCACTTCCTAACATTTTA